GTATTGACACTACCCTCAAAGCTTCATCAACAGATTATTTTTTTTCCCTCACAGGTTACGTATTAATAATAAAGAGGGGAATTCCCTGGTGGTCCACTGGTTAAGACTGCACTTGCAAAGAATTTTAAAAAAGAGAAGAAAAAGAAAGACTGCACTTTCACTGCCTAGGAGCCAGGTTCAGAACCTGGTGAGGGAACTAAGAGCCCACGTGTCCTGTACACAGCCAGAATAACTTATAGTAGCAAAGAGAAAAGTACTTTTTGTTGGAGAAATCTGGCAGATTTCCATTTGTCAAGTGATTAGAACCAGCAATCAGGCAAATCCAAAACTGAGGACCATTCAAAATTGACCTGAACCCTTCAAAAATTTCTCTTTGCTGGAAGATTAAAAAACTGTTCTAGACGTAATCATGACGACGACATGGCGGTGCCTGGCCCTAGGTTGTTCCCTAGGCAGGGGACTTCTGTGAGGGACATTACTGGGACGTGCAGTGTGAGTGTGGATTGTCTGTCTGCTGTGCCACCACACTCCAGGCACAGAAAGACCCTCGTGGGCTCAGGCTGCTGACTTCATCGGAGGAGGTGTTATGGACAGTGAGGGAGGCCTTGTGAACACATGTGACTGAGGTTGCTGCCTCCCCTCACCCCAAGATCCACTTCGGATGGCTCAGGTGACTTTAGTGTGAAGAGAAAACTAAAACATTCTGGTTTTGGTTTTTTTTAATCAGCATTATTGAGAGGAATCAAACTGCATGTGTTTTGAGTGTGGTGATTTGAGAATTTTACCATGCGTGTCCTCTCAAGAAACCATTGCCATAATCACGGTGACAGAATATCTGTTGCTCTTCAAAGTTTGTTGGGTCCTTTTGTGCTTCCTCTACCCCCGCCTTTTGTCATCTGCTTGTCGCTGTAGGTTGATTTGCATTTTCTAGAGCTTCCTGTGCAAGGAGTAGTACTGTGTGTACTCTAGTTTGAGAATTTGTGTGTATGTCAATGGTTACTCCTTTTTATTGCTGAGAATTATTCCCTTGGGCCTAGTTTCTTTATCCGTGCACCTGTTCATGGGCACTTGGATTTGTTCCAGGTGTCAGGCACTCCAAACAAAGCTGCTGTGAACTTTGCTGTAGATATGTATATGGATGTTCATTTCCTTTTCCTCCTGGGTAAGTGACTAGGGATGGGATGGCTGAACCGGAAGTAGTGAGTGTTTTTTTCTCTTTGGAGAAACTGCCGGACTGCTTGTACTTGTGTTCCCACCAACAGCATACAAGGGCTTTGTTGGTTCATGTCTTTCGAATAACTTGTTTGTTTCACCTCAGTTACTGAATGTATTGGCATAAAGCTGTTTATATTTCCCCATGTTTGTGCATGCTCGGTCACTTCTGACTCTTTGTGACCCCACGGACTGTAGCCCCCCAGGCTCCTCTGTCCATGGGGTTTTCCAAACCCTGGCAAGAATACTAGAGTGGGTTGCCATTTCCTCCTCCAGGAGATCTTCCCAACCCAAGGATTGAACCCACGTTTCCTGTGTCTCCTGCACTGGCAGGTGGAATCTTTACCATTGAGCCACCTGGGAAGCCTGAATCTAGTGATGTTGCCTCTCATTCCTGTTTGTTTTGTTTTGTTTGTTTTTCATTTTGTTTTGTTTTTGGTTGTGCCATGCAGCTTGTAAGATCTTGGGTCCCAGACCAGGGATAGAACCTGGCCCCTCAACAGTGAAAGCACAGCATGCTAACCAGTGAACCTCCAGGGAATTCCCTCATTCTTGCTGTTGGTAATTTTGTGTCTTCTGTTTTTCCCCGTCAGTCTCATTAGAGGTTTATCAACAGGCTGCTCGGAGGACCAGCTTTGGTCTCAGTCATTTTCTCTGTTGTTTCTCAGTTTTCTGCTTCTTCAGTTTCTGCTGTGATCTTTTATTTCACTTCTGACTGCTTAGGGTTTAACTCTTTTCTTAAGGTAGAAGCTGAGATCATTGATGTGTTTTCTGTAGTATAGGCATTTAGTGGCTATCAAGTTTCCCCCTACCATAGCAATATCTCAAATCCTGATGAGTTTTCTTTTTCCTGAAGTTCAAAATGCTAATATTACCCTTTTGATGTCTTTCTTGATCCATAAATTATTTTGAACTGTATTATTTAGCTTCCAGATATTTGAGGATTTTTTTTCTATAGAACTGTTATTTATTTCTAAATGAATTCCCCTGTTTTCTGAGAATACATGTTGTATAACTTGAATCCTTTTAACTTTATTGAAGCCTGCTTTCTGACAAGAATGTGATGTGTCTTGATAAATGCCCTGTGATACCTGGAAAAAAAACCTTGTCCTACTGCTGTGAGGGGTGACTGACATCTCTGGTCAGGTTGTGGGTGTCTCTCTCCTTGCAGTGTTGCTTCGTGTGTTTTAAAGCTCTGTTGTTAGCTGTTCAAGCACTTAGAATATATGTTTTCTTGATGAGCTGATGCCTTTATCACTGTGAGATACCTGATAATATCCCTGGAAATACTCTACTGCACAAGTCTACCGTGTCTGATGCTGACACAGCCCTTTTGCTTTCTCGTCAATGTGGTGTGGTGCACTGTCCTCCTTGTGGCATAGTTATATCTGAAGAGTGTTTGGTGTGGATCTTTTCTTTTCTGTCTAGTCTCAGAAAGTGTGCCTTACCTGTGGGGTTTACATTCAGTGTGATTAATGACAGGATTGGCTTTGCTGTTATTTTTGTGTTATCTGGTCTTCAGTTTCCCTCCTTTTTAACCTTATTTTGATTTTTTTTTTAACATTTCTAAATGGTTTTTCTTGTGATGATGTCCTTTGTTGAATTCTTTCACTGTCTTTGTGTTGTTACTTTAGTGGTTCAGTTAGGGTCTATCATCTGTTTAGCAGGATGCAGAGGACCCTGACCTCGTGGACTCCTGCCTGCCTGTGTGATTAGTGTCATATGCTTATATTTGCATGTTGTAAATGCTGCGGTGCATTGTTACTTTTGTTTAAGCAGTCATGTCTTAATTAATTTTTTGTTTTTTGCTGCTCTGGGTCTGTGTTGCTTTGCGTGGGCTTTCTCTAGTCGAGGTGAGCGGGAGCTACTCTTCATTGCCATGCATGGGCTTCTCATTGTGGTGCTTCTCTTGTCGTGGAGCACAGGCTCTAGGCACACAGGCGTCAGTAGCAGTTGCAGAATTTTGGGCTCAGTAGTTAAGGCGGGTGAGTTCCAGGGCACTTGAGCTTCAGGAGTTGTGGCGTGCAGTCTCAGTAGTTGCGACCCTGGGCCCTAGAGCGTGGACTCAGTGGTTGTGGCGCACGGGGCTTAGTTGCTCCACGGCAGGTGAAACCTTCCTGGAGCGGGGATAGAACTTATGTCCGCTGCATTGGCAGGTGGATTCTTAACCACTGTGCCACCAAGGAAGTCCCATAAACAGTCATACTTTTTAAATTTAAATTATTTTTAATGTACTTATGTTGTTATTTTCAGTGCTTTTCATTCCTTTTGTAGCCCCACGCTTCCATGTGGCATCGTTTGCCTCCTGCCTGAAGGACATCCTATAGCATGTCACAGTGCTGGTGATTGATTCATCACCCATTTTATATCTGAAAATATCTTCATTTTGTCTCTGATGAGGTGTTTTTCTGCAGGTTACCAGTTCTTTTCTTAGTTCTTGGAAGATGCTCACCCGCTGAGCTTCTTGCTCTAGCTGCTTTCAAGGTGCTCTGCTTATCACTAGTGAGCAACTAACTGACTGTCAGGCACGTCAGTGTTGTGTTGTTTATGTCTCTTGTGCTTGGGGCCCTGCTGAGCTTCTGTGTTCATGGTAGGCCACAAGCTTTTGTCACATTATGCCTTATGACCTATGGACCTTTTTAAGTTTGTTCTCATGTCATGTGTAAAATGTATTTTTAAAATATTTAATTGTAAAAATGAAAAGTTGCCCTGTTGATATCAAAATCAAAAGTATTTAGCATCTTATAGTGCCAAAAAGGAATGCAGTACTCAAAATAAACAGCCTGCAGTGATGGGGTGTTAAAGGGCCCCAGGAGCTGCTCACTGAGAAACAGGCAAGGCTGGGATGCTTGGAGCAACAGAATAAGTGATACAGTGTTGGAGTACAGACCAAAGTATAACACAGACACTAGTGGCTTATACTGATGGGAAAAAATAGTGAATAAGTAAATGAGGAGAAGAGACACATCTCTGTGGAAGCATTCTGAGTCATATATATATAATATATATATATATATTATATATATATGCTCTGCCCTCTGGGAAGGGGGCCCAAAACCCCCTCTTAAGTGTGGGCCATGTGTAGTGACATCCCCGCAGGGAGAACGGGATGGGTTGGGGGGGGGGAACTCCCCAGTGGAGACACATGACAGATAGCCCTCAGCCAGGTGACCAGGGTCACAGCCACAGTGAGGAGTCATGCTGAGAGCACGGCCCTGCGGGACGTGATGAGAAATGTACTTTCCCTCTGGCCTTCCTCCCCAGACCCACAAGCCCAGACTAATAACGAGAAAAATATCCGACAGGCCAGCAGAGGGACAGTCTGTCATCCCTGCCCAGCCCTGCTCCAAACCATCGGGGTCGTTCAGACCAGGAAAGTCTGAGAGACCCTCCCGGCCAAGAGCAGCTGAAGGAGACGTACCGACTACTCGTCACGTGAGGTCAGGACAGGTCCTGGAGCAGCCCGAGGGCGTGAGGTTAAAACCTGAGGAAGCCTGAGTAGTATACACTTTAGTTAATGACAGTGTATCAGCATTGGGTCATTAACTGTGACACCTTACCACACTGGTGCAGGATGTCAGTCGTAGGGAGACTGGGACCCGGTTGTGGGAGCCAGCGGGGGTCTTCCTCCTGAGCCCCTCACTCCACCCCCACTGTGAAGCTGGCCTTCCAGCCTCTCCCCACGTCACTCCTCACTGCTGCTGCCCAGCCGCCCCCCATCAGCATCACAGGCACGGGCGTCCTCAGTGCAGGTGCGCGGAGGCGGACTGACGCAGACTCTCTTGCAGTGGGCATCCCCACCATCCGGTGGTGCGGGGCTGAGGGGGACTACAACGTCATGGTGATGGAACTGTTGGGACCCAGCCTGGAGGACCTCTTCAACTTTTGCTCTAGGAAGTTCAGTCTCAAAACCGTCCTACTCCTTGCTGACCAAATGGTAAGACTTCATTTTTCTCCACTGAAGGGCAGCCCACATGCTTAGCACATGCTTGGTTTGATTCATCATCTGATGAGGCCTTCAGGGTTGTTCGCTTCCTTTTTGTGCCATTCGTGCATACGGAGAAAACCGAAGCTTGTTAACTGTGCAAGAGATAGTGACCCATGGAGGGCAGGGTGTGTTTGCAAGTGGGCCAGGGTTCCCCTTGGTTCCTCCTGCCAGGCTGCAGCCTGGGGTTCAACCTGTCACCCCTGCTTCTCCACCTGCAGATTAGTCGTATTGAATACATACACTCGAAGAACTTCATCCACCGAGATGTGAAGCCGGACAACTTCCTCATGGGGCTGGGTAAGAAGGGCAACCTGGTCTACATCATTGATTTCGGGCTGGCTAAGAAGTACCGGGATGCCCGCACCCACCAGCACATCCCCTACCGCGAGAACAAGAACCTCACCGGGACGGCGCGGTATGCCTCCATCAACACACACCTTGGCATTGGTGAGCCCTCCCACCCTGGCTGTCCTGCACCCTCTTGGGGGCCCTGAGGGTTGGTTGTGGAACATTGGGTATGGAGGCTGGCATCAAACCTTCATAGCAAAGGCTGGCATCAGGGCCTGGAGACCTTATCTTTTGGGGCATGGGGGACAGCATGTGCTGGGGCCTCCTAATGGGTGGTAGTGCATCTCTTAACAGCACAGGAGAGTTGCTTCTGCGGAAGCAAAGACTCCAAGTGTCCTTCTCTGGGGCTCTGAGTTTATCCCCAGGCAGCGTCTGTGGGGTGTTGCTGTGCATGCTTAGGCATGCCGCCCTGACCTGCTCTCCTCTCTATCCAGAACAATCTCGAAGGGATGACCTGGAGTCTCTGGGCTATGTGCTCATGTACTTCAACCTGGGCTCACTGCCCTGGCAGGGCCTGAAGGCTGCTACCAAGAGGCAGAAGTATGAGAGGATCAGTGAGAAGAAGATGTCCACTCCCATCGAGGTGTTGTGTAAAGGCTACCCTTGTGAGTGTCTGGTGGATAGCGAGCCAGCTGTAGTTCTGTGGGAGGGCAGAGGCCTTTGAGGTCTGGAAGAAGGACCAGGGAAGCCCCCTAAGCGTCCTGCACAGTTAGGGAGCTGAGGGCTGGGCAGGTGACCCGCTCTTCAAGTGGCCACAGCCTCTGTCCCTAATGCTTCTCCACCTTCCTGAGCCATGACTCAGGGAGCTTTCCTTTTGTTTTTGTGAGACTTCTCCTGGGATAAATGTCTCAGATGAAACTATGTTACGCTCTGTGGTGCTCAGTTTTCTCATCCTCTTTCCTCAAAGGATTCCTGATGTTTCAGGCTCCAGCTTTCACAGCCTCTCTCTGGGGCCATGGGTGGTCAAGGGTTCTGTGGACAGACACCATTCTGGCTCTCAGTCAGGAATACTGCTGGTTACCTCTGAGTCTTCTGGTGTTTACAGCTGAATTCGCCACGTACCTAAATTTCTGCCGTTCCTTGCGTTTTGACGATAAGCCTGACTACTCATACCTGAGACAGCTCTTCAGGAACTTGTTCCATCGCCAGGGTTTCTCCTATGACTACGTGTTTGATTGGAACATGCTCAAATTTGTAAGTATGCCCCCAGTTCACCGACCACTCAGCGTGGAAGGGGCTTGCCTGTCAGCAGAAGGCCACCAGCTGCCACCATCCTTTTCTGGGAGCTATACGGGGTGGGGCTTCAGGAGGCATGGCTGCCACATGGGGAGCACAGGGGTTCTGAGAAGCAAAATGCCAGAGGGCAAGCCAGGGAGGCGCCTCAGGGCCACAGTGGAGTCTACAGTGCAGTTTTGCCCAGACCAGGGCTCTCATTTGAACTCTGTGGTCCTCAGGATATTGTGACTGCGCTGGTCTGTGAATTCCTTGTCAAGGGGATGTGACCCCCGCTGGGTGGGGTGAAGACTTGCCCCTGCTCCCCTCACCTGGCTGTGCCTCCCAGGGGTTGGGAGGTGCTGTGTGTTAGGTCTCTGTTTGGCCTTGTGAGGAGCTGGACTTAACATTTGATTTCCTTTGTCACCCAGTTTGTTCGTTAAGTATGAGCCTATGTTTTTGTGCATGTGCACTGTCAGGACTCAGGGTGGGAGCTTGGACTTAATTTGTTTTCTCTAAAACAGGCCACCTGTCTCTGAGTCTGTTGTAGGAGTTTGTTTAATCTCTGACACTACAGCCAGAATCCCATTTTGTTTGTTTTTTTAATTTGCACTTCCTCTTTCATTAAAAATGTGTTCTATGAGCTTAAAACAAAAATTGGCATGTTTCTAGGGTGACAAAATCTGATGGAGGAACAGAACCTCCTCCTCAGAGTGCAAAACAGGAAGCCTTATCCCGTGGCCTCACGGGTGCATGGGTGCTCACACAGGGAGCAGGTGGGGGCAGAGAGCCACAGCCTCCTCAAACTGGGGCCAGCCTGCAGAACCGGCCTACCCTGGACCTGGCCTGTGCCATCCTTCCAGACCTCTTTATTAGGATGGCCTTTGAAGGACAACCTTTGGGGGCGGTGCTGCAGGTTACTTGGAGTCTGCACATCAGGGTGCACTTCCTGCCAGAGCCACTTTAACAAACTTTTTGTTCTTACATCATCATCCCTCACAGGGATTCGGCAAACCTCTTCTATAAAGGACCAGACAATAAATGGTTTTATCTTTGCCGTCTGTATGGCATTGTGGCCACTCGACTCTGTATTGTGTGTAACTGGAGAGCCGCCAAAGCAGTGCGTCAGTGAGCAGGCATGACTGTGCCAAGAAAACTATTCGCACGAATGAGTGTGGCTGCATTTGGCCCGTGGGCTGCAGTTTGCAGACTCCTGCCTTACGGCACTGGTGATTAGGACATAACCTTTACTAGGACAGGTATCCTGGCGTCACCACTTAAAATCCAGTATCCCTCTGCTTGTGGTTTGATACTCACTAAAAGTGTCAACTAGCTGTTCTGGGAGCAGCTAGCTTAGCTAAGGCAGTGCCCACTACCTGGCCACTCAGGACGAGCCTGGCTGCCAGCCTCATCTCATGCGCACCAGCAGGATGTCAGCCTGAGCCAGGCATCTGGGCTCTGGTTGGACTCTTCAGCTGACCAGATGTGGTCCTTTCTGCCTGTCGCATGGGTGCCGTCCCCCAGCTGTCGCCACATTGGGCTGCCTCTGACCTAGGCCGGTTCCCATCCCCACATGAATAATCGCAGAGAAGAGGGCCGCCAAGTGCTGTTGATGGTTGGGTTCTGAGGAGTGATGAGGTGACTGGGGGGATGTTTCCTCTGCTGGAAAAGGAGACAAGCCCGGTTCCACTCGCCCTCCGTCGTGGGATGGGTCAAGCATGTACCCGGAGTGGGGAGCGCCTGACTTGTTAGAGGCTGTAGACTTCGAGGGGGGACTCCTGCACACGCCCCCATGTTTTTTCGAGTGGTGGCCAAGGGCCTTAGGTGGTTTTGCACCAAACCCAGTTCAGTTCTGCTGTCACCCTCTTTCCTCCATAGGGAGCCAGCCGGGCAGCTGACGATGCTGAGCGGGAACGCCGGGACCGAGAGGAGCGATTGAGACACTCCCGAAATCCAGCCACCCGCGGCCTCCCTTCCACGGCCTCGGGCCGGCTGAGGGGGACACAGGAGGTGGCTCCTCCCACCCCCCTCACCCCTACCTCACACACTGGTGAGTGGTCCCGCGGCTGCAGCTTATACCCCAGTCCCCGCGCTGCAGGCAGTAGGGGTTCTATTTTGTGTGTTGCTTGCTCTGGACACTCCAGTGTGTGACCTCATGGGGTCTGGGCGGGTGTGCCTCGTGAGTGAAGCATGTGCATCCTCGTTCTGTTCATTTCTTACTCCCAAAATTAGACACGCCAGGGAACCACCTGGAATAGCGCCTTCCAGAATATCTATTTCTCAGAAGTTGGCTTGTTGAAGGATTTTGTTCCCTGCAAGCTCTGTTGCTTTGCCTTTTGTTCTCATGACACAACATTTAGCCTCTTCCTTGCCTGTTGAGACAGGCATTGTAGGCAGAGGCCCCAGCCACCCTCCCACTAGACGCCTGGGGCCGTACTCCTAGGGATCAGCCTGTGGTGCCGACCTAACCTTAGGGTGCAGTAAGCTGTCCTGTGCCTGAAACTGAGGCAGCTGAAGGTCCTTGTTAGACGTGGTTTTCAAGGAGAGACCCTGTGCTGGAGTGTGGGGCTGCATTCCGAGGCCTCACGCTTGCCCCTGTCTCCCTCTCCTCCAGCAAACACCTCTCCTAGGCCCGTGTCCGGCATGGAAAGAGAGCGGAAAGTGAGTATGCGGCTGCACCGCGGTGCCCCGGTCAACATCTCCTCATCCGACCTCACGGGCCGGCAAGATACCTCCCGCATGTCCACCTCACAGGTACGCGCCCCGCGGGCCGGCCCCTAAGCTCGCCCAGGCCGGGTGCTGCGGGCCTCCAACTTCTCCATGTTTGGTCTGATCTTATGGGCTCCAAGCAGAGTGAGGTCATAGTTTCAAAGGCATTCCTTCTTTCCTTCCTTCCCTTTCTTCCCATTTTCGGGTGTTTTAACTGATGGGGTAACGTTGTGCCCCTCGATGCAGCTTGGCCCCTTGGTTGAGAGCCTCCTTGATGAGCTGTGCGGGATAAGGGCTCCACACCCCTCCCCTCAGGCTGTGCTGGGACATGCCACGGAGCTTTCTCTCTCCTGCTGCCCTCCACGTGGCTCCCAGCCCCCGGGCAGCCTTGGAGCCTTGGCCATCTTCCCTGTGCAGGCTGGTGCTTCCAGCCTGCTCACACCGTTTGTTATGGGCACATCCAGCCTCGGAGACTCTGTCCTCGGTCTTGTTGGCCAGGTGTTCCCCCAGCAGAGTGCCGGGCTGGGGGTAGCAGGGGTGGCATATTGCCAGTCGTCACTGTGCAGTGTTGTGGGCAGAGGCCTTCTAGAGCCCAGTGCTTGGCAGTGTGCTTCGGGGCGAGGGTTCCTGTCTTCTGGTGCCCCTTCTGATGTCTGTCTTCTGTCTGGCGAGGCAAGTGTGCTCAGAGGTGCAGGGCCTGGTCCCAGGGCCCCCTCCCCCCATGTCCTCTTCCCACTGTGGCTTTCCTCGCTGTCCTTTTGTGCTTGCTACCGTGCCTCCCTCAGCAGAGCAGCTCTTTGCCCACATGCGGACGTTTTTCCTCAAGTAGCTTCAGGGCCGCCTCCTGCAATCAGGGCAGTAGGCGTGGACAGGGGTCAGGAACAACCCAAGTGGACCACTTCTGCTTCAGCCAGTGTCCTGTGGGGACTGGGACCACCTCCTGGTGTCTACTCGGTGGGCAGGTGGTGGGTTGAGGAATGTCCAAAACCCGGGTCCCGGCCGTGTGCTGGCTCAGCGGCCCTGTGCTTCACCACGATGCCTCAAGGTTACGCTTTGCGTCCTGCCCTCCTCGGTGCTTGCTGTGCAGTGGGCGTAGATTGTTGGTGAATTTGGTGGGTCAAGCATTTTGTGAGAACTCCCAAAACCTCAGTCCTGTGGCATCTAGCCAGTCTTGTGGCAGAGGAACAAGGTGTGCCAAGGCACACTTTAAGCAAGTGAAATCATGTTTTTTGCCAAATTTACTAGTAATTTACTAGCAAGTCTACTAGAAATGGGTTTTTCTTATATGGTAGCTTTCTTTAAGAGACTGAAGATGCAGGTAGTTCAAATTGTGCGGCTCAGTGGGTCAGTAATGAGATTGGGCCTCTTAGGGCTCCCAGCCTCACAATCGTCCTCTGTCACCACAGGGCACAGAAGGGGCTTAACAGGTTTCTTTCCACAAGCCCTGGGATGCATGAGCTAGCAGTTGGAAGCAGGTCCCTGGAGGTGTTCACCATGCCTGGCCAAGCGGGCCTGGAGGAGGGCTCCAGAACACCTCAGCCAGCAAGGACCAAGGGAGGAGCAGACTAACTTCTTTTCTAACACAAGAAAACGTGTTTTGCTTTGAGGATCATTGAGGAAAGTGGAAGAGGCTGAGAGTTCTGAGAGTGCCAGGCAGTTAGGAGTTTTAATCCAGCCTCTTCGCCACCTGTGTCCGTCTTCATTCAGCCCATGACCCCTGAATGTTGACAACACACAGCTTCAAGACCTTTGCTATAAAGTCGTCCCATCACAATTGCATGTCTTTGCCCTCTGGTTCTCTCTCTGCTTTCCATCGAAGAAGTGGGCCTGAACAGTGGGGTGGGGGGAGCCGGTCTCTGAAGATATTCAATTTGTGTGTGTCCCTTCCAAAAGAAGCACCCTGGGAGTTTCCTTACGATCTTCATGTTGAGGGCTAGACAGCCCTCCCCTTCAGGTTTTCCTGATCATCCCCCAGGTGCTCTTCCTTAAGAGACTCTGAAAGGCTGCTGTCCACCAAGGGTGTGATCAGAGTTGCTCCAGCTTTTATGACTTTGTGGCCTCCATTCACACACCCCACCCCGCTACCCCCGCCAACAGATGCAAGCAGGAATAGGGCCAGTGACACATTGATCCAGGGGGCAGTACCACGTGTGCACAGACCCCAGCCTCTTCTTACCAGCTTCCTCTTCCTCGAGGAGAGGTTGCGTCCTGTGCCGGTGTATCCAGGCCAAGGAGGTAGCACATCATCAGCATACACGTGCCTGGAGCCACCCGCCTGCTTGGGGGATGGCCCTGCTGACCCTCCCCATCTGGGGGTGGGAGGACGTGATACACCTGTCCCTTGTCCTGGCCACCACTCCTCACCCCTTGTCCTTCTCCAGGGACTACAGTCCCCACACCCCCGACCCCAGCCTGCAAATCTGGCCTCTGTTTCTGGAATGTCATGAAGACTGAAAGGCTTCTGGTGGCTGAACCTGTGTGTGATGTTTCTCTTTGTGAGAAGTGTCTTCTTCATCCAGTGCTGTTAATAGAACATAATACTGACCTGTGGTGCCAGTTTTTTCTTCGGGTGGGCTGACTCGTTTTAATTCCAGCTCTCCAAGTAAGGTCCACAGCCCTGTCCTTCTCCTTGTGTCAGTGAGAAAATACGTCCAGTCCTTGTGTCATGGGGAGGTGGCGTCCTCTCCACCTCCCGAGCACAAGCCTCAGGAGCTCCTGATGCCAAGATGCTCTGGAGGGGCTGCTGTCTGGGCATCCAGTTCTCTTACTGCTTGAGGAGTTGGGAAGGATCTCCCTCATTGGCCTCCCTGATGGATCCATCCTCAAGGAGCAGCGGCCACGTGTCCAGGGGGCCACTCTGGAAAGGTGGGACCCAGTTCCTTGTGTGGTCCCGGGATCCCCTTGAGCAGCCCCAGCCAGGAGTCCTGGACCTGGTTGAGGCAAGGCAGCACTTGTGGAAACAGGAGGGCCTTACGTGCTGGTCCAGCCAGTGGAACCCTTACCAACAGCTGTCTTTTCCCCCCACCTCAGAATAGCATTCCTTTTGAACATCACGGCAAGTAGCTGCACGTCTCCCCGTCGGAAGGCAGCACTGGGTGAGTGTGCTCACGGCGGGGCTCCTCGGCAGGCGCCGGGCCGGGTGGGAGCTGCCGCCCACTCACCGGCCTGAGGGAGCACGCAGGGGGTCGGGCTTGCATGCCAGGTGCCCCAGGTAGAGCCAGGCCCCGGCCCAGGTCCTCTCCTTACATGGTTCCAAAGCAGCTGTGGTGGGCTGTCCAGTCTAGGGTGACCCCAGAATCCTGTCCATTGGCCTTCGGCCCTCGCTGTGGTCTCTAGTCAGGAGCCAGCATGGGGAACAGGAGCCCAGTCTCGGCTCCAGTGGCCCCAGAAGGCTCAGGGCCTTGTGGTCCCAGGTTGGTCGCCGGACGTGTATTGTATTGTGCTGGCTATGGGGGCCGCGCTTGGTGGGGACTCTTGCGCTCTTGCTGCGTGAGACACTCCTGATGGTCTCTGCTGTCCTGGCTTTGTCATCTCTCTTCCTTTAGCATTGATTTCTGTCCTCCGCGTTTGCTTTTCTTTTCGAACTTGGTCTCTGCCCAGCATCTTGTCTACACTCGTCTGTATTAACCCATCAGCCACAGCCGCCTGCTCCCTGCCATTGGTGCATGGCTGGGCCTCCAAGCCCAGCTCCCCTCTCGATGGCAACTCTTGTGGCTCCTCCCAGCTCAGGGCTTGCAGCTTCTGTCCACTCGGCACCGCGGGGCAGACCGGCTGTAGTTGTAACGTGACTGCACTCTTGGGGGACATCTTGATGGGAAGTGCTTTTCACGTCTTGCCCCAAGTGGAGTCCCAGTGCCCACTCGGGGCCTGGTCCTCTATTTTGGAACACCAGGCTACTTTCTAGGAAGGGGGCCCTGGGCATCTCTTGCCCGCTTGGACTCCGTCCGGTCTGACTGATCATGAGCTCGCGGCCCCACGGCCTCCTTGCCTGCATGGCTCTTCTTCCTTCCCCGTCTTCCTGTCACTCTTTCTGCTGCACGTGTCCTGGCCTCGAGGGACCTTCCAGAGCGGCTGGGTGGCACATGTCCAAAGGGGCGAGGCGCCATCTGTCCCTTCCTCCTCCCAGGGCGCTGTCACTGGTGTTTTGTACTCAAGCCTGACCACCTCCTCTCCTCTGGCCTCACGCTGACCTTCTCCTGTGCTTTGGCTCCGACAGATTCCCGGTCGGGTGGCGTCCAGTGGTCTGCAGTCTGTCGTGCACCGATGAGAACTCTCCTTTTTGCTGAGGGCAGACAATGCATGGCTGATCTACTCTGTTACTAGTGACACGCCCCCGGTCTAGAACCGAAATGTTAACACCGGGAGCTCTCCAGGCCACCCACCCAGCGACGCCCATGGGGGAAACAAAACACAAACCCAACTGGACAGACTCCAAGCGCTGCCATCGCCAGGGGCTGCACTGAGCCCCCATGAACTCGGTTCTAGCGGGGCTGGGAAGAAAGCAGTGAGACGGTTGCAGAGAGAATCAAACTCCCATCCAAGAGCCTTTCAGTCCCCTCCGTGGTGGCGCACCCGTGTCCCTGCCGAGTCTACTGTAACTACCGATCTTCTACTTGGTTAAGACAGTTTTGTATCATTTTGCTAAAAATTATTGGCTTAAATCTGTGTAAAGAAATCTGTCTTTTTATTGTTTCTTTCATGTCTGTTTTTGCGGTCTTAAAGATGCTGACTTAAAGAATTCTGAAGCAGGTCCTGGTGTGGAGTTTGTGTAGGAGTGAGGCAGGGAGCAGAGCACACGTGGGTTTCTGTGGTCTGCGTCTCGTGGTTTGTTATGTGGTCCACTGTGGAGAAGGGATTTTCTCATCAGAAGTTCTATCACGTATATACGCGTGTGTAAGTAACGTGTGTGTCCGTGTGCCGTGTGTCTCGTGACTTCATTAATCTAGTTTTGGCTGTCACGCTCCCTTCCCCACTATAAACTGAAATGCCCGCTCACTGCAGACCCGCTGGGATTCTTGAATCATCAGGGCAGTTAGAAAGCGCTGGCCACATGCCCAGGCGCACCGGGTGCTTCCCGACAGAGCAGCCCATGGATCTGACCTTCCCAGACGCAACAAGAAGGAAGCTGAGCCTGAAGACTGCAGAAGCCATGGCTTCGCGTCGTGTTGCCGACCTCTCAGGAGAGGATTTCAAACAGAGACTTGGGCCCCTCCGTGGAGTCATATTTGGTTATGTTGGTGGTGGTTGCCTCAGTGCTTTTGAACTTGGGAGATTTTCTAAATAGGCTGTCAATACTACCAGTGCAAGTTGGCCCCCAGTCTGTGTTAACATCTCTGCTCAAAACCAAGGGCCGTGGTGTCCGCCCTGTGTGCCAGCATTGCCCAGAAAGGCCAGCAGGCCTAAGGGAATCCACTCTGAAGTGCCAAGAAACAGGTGACTCTGACGACCTGATGTCCAGGAGAGTGAAAGATAACATGCTTTTGTGACCTTCCCTGGGATGTAGTGACCCCACAGAGTCCAAGAAGCAGAGCAGGGCCAAGTCTCCCCAGAAAGACCCTCCGGGGCAGCCGGGCTCCAGGTGGGTTCCTGAGACACTCTCCTCGCTTTGCAGTAGCAGTAACAGAGGCACCAGGTGGTAGTGGCGGCCAGTAGACAGGAGCCTCCGTCTCTGGAAATGAGGTGCAATATATGTGTTCATAGGTACTTTCACATTTCTTCCCATCATTGCCCTGCAGTGTGTTCTGTTTAGAAACAGGCACTGGTAGGAAGCTAGGGACCTGAAAGGTGTCCATGTCTGTGTTTTCCCTTCCTGCCCCCAAAGTCCCAGCACAGGGACACTGGTCCTAGGATGCCCTGACTGCTGTGTTGATGGCACAGAATGCAGCTGGTTGCTTCTTTCTGAATCCTGAGCTGGCTACTCTGTAAGTGTTTCGGGGTGTGGACACTTGGCCAGGTGGGACTGTGTTTCTGGGAGCATAGGGGGAACTTGGGTTGGTTGGAGTGAGTTGGGGGCTTTCATCGTGTCCCAGTGGCTTCCTCAGAGGTGGACCTCCCCCTCCTGGAGAGCTGTTAGCAGCTGCGGCCCTGATGTTCTGCATCCAGGTTTTCACCTGGATTGCCAGATGGCATTTTAGAAGTGGACTCCAACCCTGAGTCCTCAGCAGTGTGGTTGTGGACAGTTGTGTCCCCGCCCCCGTCCCCCCATATTTAACTCCCCATCCTGACTTGCAGGAAACATAGTTGGAATGTCTGTATCAACCTGTGTATCAGTGGCCAGTCTCTGAACTGCGCTTTTGTATGACCACTGTATTTGTGTCCTTAACCACCATGTAAATAATAAATTCATGACGACTTCTGCCTTTCTTCCCTGCCCCTGCCATGTGGTCTTTATTTCATCAGTTTGGAGTTTTGATTTGTGTAGATTAACTTTGTGAAACTAATTTTCTGAGACTGGGCATTCATGTCTGTCCTTTGGAAGCCTGTTGGTGTACTTTTGTAAGCTGATCGGGAGCAGGTGGGATGAGCCTCTGAGGCGTGGCAGGGATGTGGCTGAGCTGCTGCCGATGTAGGCCGTGCGCACACACCAGTCCCCTGCTTTAACCACCTCTGTGGGAAGGAGGTGCTGCCACTCACCTTGTGTTCTCCGGGGAGTGAAGAGCATGGTAGTTGGCCCGTAGCTGTGTTGCTACTGCCCGTGGGGGTGCTCATGGTACCCATGAAGGGGCTCCCAGGGGGGCCCCTGCTGGGACCCAGGGGCTTGGACCTGGCAGTCGCCACCCCATTGTGAGCACCAGCCTGCATCCTCATGCCCCAGGTGCTGTCCCTTCTAGTCAGGCAGTGTTGGGAGGGGGCATCGTCTTTCCAACTGTTGGGCTCATGGCCTCCGCTTCCCTCTGCCCCTGGAGTTGTTGGAGCTCAAGACGCCCCTACCCCTGGGAGCTCCAGACGGAGCCGAGTGAGAAGGTGTGGCCCTGCAGGAAAGTCCCTCCCTACTGAACTGGGACCACAGATGTGTTCCCATAAATGTGTGGTAACTAAGCACCTTCTGGTCCACACCCACTTGTCCTGGAGCTGAGTGTGCCAGCCTCGCATGTACTACAGGGAAATTCTTGGTGATGGCACCTGCATGCATGGAATACAGGTGGGGCAGGTGGGTCTCCCACCCGCCACTGGTTAGTGTTTACTGCTCACAAGCCAAGTGTGCCAGGCTTGTGCCAGATGGTCCCTGAGGATGTGAAAGAGCCTGAGCTCTTTATGGGTTCCCCCTCCTCCCCTCAGCCTGCTGACGCTTGGACTCAGCTGAAATGATGATGAGGTGAACCCTGTACCCGCGTCTCGTTCTCCTGCCAGGAGGGAGGTCACAGGCAGAACAGGGACCCTGGCCCCTTTCACTCAGCCTGCCTGCCCTGCTCCCCAGCCCCTTCACCACCTCTGTCTTCCCAACATGGAGAACTCTACCGCCTGAACTGCCTGGCAGGCTCCATGCTCGGGAGAGCAAGCTCTGGGTCCAAACCTCCACCTCCCACCTGCCCCAGGCCCTGTCACCTCTGAATGGGGTGCTTGGAGCTCCTCCCAGAAGTCCCTGTGTTGGAGGAGGGGACCATGCCCACCCCTGTCGGCTGAGAGCTATGAAAGCAGCACACTCCTTGGCACCACTGTTTGCAAGGTTATTTAGGGTTACAGGGGAGTGTCTTTTGGGGAACCATGAGGGGGCCCTGCAGGTCTAGGCAGCTGCCTCCCAGACTGCCATTGGCAGAACACTTGGGCAGCCACTGACAGCGGGGTCTGCCTTCCTGCTAGGCTCTCCCAGTGTGGCCTGCACATGTATACGGTGATTTAGGCTGGTGTGTATGTGTCCTCCAAGGAGCTGCTAAGGGCCTGTGAGAGTGGGCTTAGCACAGGCATCTGTGTCTTGATGTGAAGCTGGGTGTGAGCCTTCTCTGGTGGGACGTCTGGAGGACTAGGGAGAGCCCTGTCCATTCCAGAGCACTGACCACTCTCCTAACTGCTTTTAGGGCCATTGGCCCTTGGCAGCCACTGCTTCCTGAGGACAGGAAATTTTCTTCCTCTGTGTCTTGGGCACAGCTGGAAATGTCTGGAACCAGAAAACCAGGCAGACCAAACCATCTGGTTACCCTCTCCCCAGGGTTAGGGTTAGACTGCAGGTCAGTCTCCAATCTGGGCAGAGCCCCTGCATGCTTTAACCAGCTGATGTGGGAGCAGGGGGCCTCAGGTGCACCCTGGGGTGCATGGATCCAGCCCCAGACCAGCCATGGGCCCCACCCCCAGGGGAGGGACTCCCGCACCATCTCAGTCACTGAACGGTATACCTAGTGTGGCTGTAGAAGGTCCCAGTAGGGAGTGGGGACGAGTGAGGCAGCTTCAGGTGAGAGTGGAGGGGGGTGGTGTGGAATACAGGGGCCCTGGTCACCCCCACAGCTGGTTCCAAGAGACGCAAGAAAACTGAATAACTGGCGACAGCCAGGCCAAGCTCTTGCCAGGAGAGAAGGGGGCGTCATGATGAGAGCTGGGAGGGTGTTGGGGGAGGGGCACAAGCAGGCCGCCCACTCGTGCCCTTTTCCCTGCCCCTCTCCAGTTCAGAGACCACAGGTGGGGCTGACAAGTTGGGTGCTCGTGGCTCAGCTTTCCCAGAGGGTGGCCCCTGCCTGGCCCACCTTGAACAGGGTGAGGTCAGTGGATGCAGGGCAACCACCTGACCCCTGCAACTGCTAGCGCTGCCCACAGCCCAGGCCCCTGGCAGAGGGGAAGGACAGAAAGGATGAGATGGGGCAGGGTGCTGCAGGCAGGTGCCTGTCTCCCTCACAGAGCTCAAAGGGCAGATGGAGGAGGGAGCCAGCAGCCCCCTTAGGGCAACACCTCTTGGGGAGGGGGGCCCAGGATGTGAGCTCTTGCTTGCTTTTCGTTTCAGAGGAGCAGGGATGTGGCATCTCTTCGGCTGCACGCGGCCCGCCAAGGTGCCCGCTGCCGTCCCCAGCGCCCTCGACGCACCACCTACTGAGGCGGCCCCAGCGGCCTCTGACCGGGCTCCCAGCCACACAGGCCGCCACTGGCCACGAGGGCAGGTGGGTGTGAGGTACCCAGGGCAAGGTTGACTAGGGCTGTTCCAAGAGGACAGGGACCAAATATCAACCCTGGGCGCTGAACACGTGGGATGACTGTTGGCTAACGAAGGGGTGAATAAACAAAAGCAGGCAGATCATTTTCTTCAAACACACACCAGTGAACAGAAACCACATGTACATTCCAGCCTAAGTGTCCACATCCCTGCAGCGTGGCCCCTTCCCTGCCGACCACCAGGGTGCTGTGTGAACACGCTGAGCCGTTTGAGGTTCAACAGGACAGGGTCCAGAACGAGCAGTACTTAGAAGGCTGACGTGGCTGACGAGAACCAAAACCACTTTGTAAAAATAAGCAGGCTGTCTTTTGAGAAAGAGATCTGGGGTCAACGGTTAGACCACTGTCCCTAAGTAAGAGCAGGTATATCTCAAACCTTTCAGAGGTGAAGGAGGGAGATTTGTCCACTAAAACGCTCAAAAGAGGGGTGGGCTGGGGCACACAGGAGACCCGGTAGGACAGGGCACTCACGGGCACATGGGGAGGCCTGTTGTGGGAGTGCCCACTCCATAGCTGTCCCCGGCCCTGCCCCCTGATTAAAGTCATGTTGTCTCCAAAGCGTGGGTCTCTGGGTCCTTGAGCCCAGCGGTGGGCACTGGGCTCCCTGGGGTCAGCAGGTGGGGTCCCTGGTGCAGACGGCTCATAACTTCGCGGCTTGGCTTCACCGCAGATCCGCCTCGGAATGACACGTTCCCACCCCGCCACCTCCCCTGAAAAACACTGATCGGGTGATGATGCACTGCCCAGGCAGCCGGCGCGGAGCCGAAGGCCCCGCCCAAGCTGGTCCTGTTTGTGAAATAAATACGAGCGTTGATGGTCTCTGTCCGGTTCCCTGCACCCCTGCCATCCTCCCCGGGCTCAGACGCTCGTTTCCGGGGTGTGAACCACCTCCCCGTTCTTCTCAGGCTCCGTCTTCAGGAACTGCTCCACCTCCCGGGAGTCCACCTTCACATCCTCCGGGGGCTTGTGGCACTCCTCCTCCGTGGCCGTCTCGGGCCTCTTCCTAATGCAGAAGAAGTTACCCAGCACCAGCACGAGGGAGGAGGCCAGCACCTCGGCCCCCGCCAGGATAAACACATACTGGTAGACATGCGTCGCGTCCAGGAGCTTGCCTGCAGTGCAGGGAGACAGGGTCAGCCCAGGGCTGAAGCTTCCACCGAAACCCCACCCCCAGTCCCAGTCACCAGGACAGCCTGGGACCCTGAAGGCAGCCACCCTCACTGCCCACCACCCCACAGCCCTGCCCCAGGTAGCACAGACCCAGAGGCTAAAACAGAGTGGATCTGACAGAGTGGTTTAGAGCTACGCCAAGCCTTGAGTGGGGGCCCCATCCAGGGCCTCCTGAGGGGTCTGACCCTGCTACCTGTTGCCGCAGTGGCCCTCACAGGAACCATATGGACCCCAGAAGGACCCTGGGACCCCAGTTCAGGCACCTCCTCACACCAGAACTCCGCCCCCCAACCCCAGGCAGGAAGAGCGAAAGGCCCAAGGCCAGGTGAGAGGTAGAGGGCCTACAGGGTTGGCTGGAGAGACCCAAACCCAGGTGCAGAGGCTTGGCAGAGCCTTGGCCACACTGCTCCCACGTCCCCACCATTATCTTCTCAGCTATAAAAAAATAGAAGTCCAGTGTAACAAAAGCCGACCCTGGCCTCAGCTCTGAGTGTCCCCAGGGTGTGGGGACAGTCAGAAAGGAGGACCAGGACTCCACCCTGGAGCCATCGCCACGGCTCAGGCCCATGGACTTCCCATAATGAAACCAAGTGGGTCCTGGGATGTATAAGAGGCTGTGTTCCCCCACTGAGGTCAGCTGCCCATGTGCAGAGGTACATGGTAACCTGGCTAGACAAGGCTGGGAGCAGTGGTGGAGGCCTTTCCAGCTAGGAGCTCCCCACAGTGAGTCCGCTCCCCAGGAAGAGTAGGTGTGGAAACTGCCCAAGGGCCTAGCTAGGCCCAGGGAGGGGAGGCCGCTCACGCCCCACCCTGCCCCCCGCCAGCACTCACCTCCAGACGGTGGCCCAATGAGCACCGCTATGGCCTCCAGCAGCAGCACGAGGCCAATGGCACTGGAGAACTTCTGGGTGCCCACGATGGCCATAAGCACCTCAAACTGCAGGGCCCCCACCATGCCATAGGAGATGCCGAAGAAGATGCAGAAGACCACCAACCCACCATAGTCACTGGCCGTGGACCCTGTGAGGTCGGTGAAGCCGTTGAAGAACATGGCGAAGCT